TCTGTTCTGTTCTGTTCTGTTCTGTTCTGTTCTGTTCTGTTCTGTTCTGTTCTGTTCTGTTCTGTTCTGTTCTGTTCTGTTCTGTTCTGTTCTGTGCTTTTTCTAACCATTTAACAATGATAATCCCAGTATAACCAGCCAAACATGTATTAATTATTTTAAGAAGATCCATAAAGTCCAAATCATGCAGAGCACTCGTTATTCTACCGTAGCCTCAAGCGTTGTATTTAATCAACAGTCTAACGGCTATTAGGACTCCATTATCAATTYTTTATTACTATTTTTTTCTGTCTAGGAATTTTTCAATAAAAAAAGTAAAAAATATTTCATCTGTAAAAATACGACCGGTCGCTAAATAGAGGTTTCCCGGTTAAGAGATGACCGCTTCATAGAAGTCGTACTCGATATCGTCATTTGTGCCAGGAAACCCAAGCACGCCGACTGAAAAACAAACACTTGAGAAACAAAGACAGCCGTTTTGTGTGTGTGTTTACTGACGAACGTTGTGTTCAGTTAGCTGTGCAGCTGTAGCMAGATCAGGGAGACACGTGTTGGGTAACACTCAATATCCATAAAAAGATTGCAAGTTTACCAAGACGATCATCCTTGTAAAAGGGAAACACAAAAGTGTTACAGTTTTACGGAAAATAGCTGAAGAGTAAAAGAGTCAAAGGAAAAGGATAGGAAATGAAAGGGGCGAGAAGAAAAAAAGAAGGAAAGAGAGAAAGAAAGAAAGAAGGCAAGAAAAGAAGGAAGGAAAAAGGAAAGAAAGAAAAAGATGACAATTATTCATATTTTTAGCGAAAATGAAAGTACATAAATAAGATCTAAATAAATCATGCTGTTTCCAATTAAATYTAAAACTCAAAGATTTATTCTGTAGCTATATTCCTTTGCATAAATTTAAACGGAAAAGTGTATTTCAGAAACAATACTGAGCCATACTYATTAATAACATACAGTACTTCTAAAATTCTCAAACGTTTTAAGAGTTTTTTCTTAACTTTSTTTCCAAGAGATATGAAACAATGAATTGACAGCCCTATTGACATTACTTATAGTGATAAAGCAAACACAAGACTGGAATGTTATTTGACGAGTGGGCGATTCGTTTATTGCCATAGCACATAGTGCGAAGGAAATTGTAAAGTTTTGTTTTTGCTTTGAGCTTAACCTTGAACATGAAGACTAGAGGTTATTGAAGTACCACTACGATCAAATTTATGACTTGTTTGTGTGTGTGCATGTGTGTGTGCCTGGATTGAAAGACCTTTGATAGTAAAGTAAAGTATCACTTTTTAATGTGTGTTGTCGCGGGTTTTTACAACGTCTTATCTATTTAAAAAACTAAAAGATTGAACATAGTTGGAATTTCTCAAGAGAACCAAGTTTTTTTGAAAATTTTACATCACAGTAGAATTATTGAAAATTTAATGAAAACTGTTCAATTACTTACTCGTGGGCACATATTTGTTTAAATTCTCAACTTAGTAAAAAAGAAAGCAAATTCCCATCCACGCATCGAAAAAATGCGTGAATGAACAAAACTTTTGATATATCGAGAAAAAATTCTCTAAATGTGACAATGATTTGATGTAAGTAGTATGTCTTTTATTTTTGAGCAGTTTAGAATGATAATGTTGACATAAAATTAAGTATTATTTTACTGATTTCCTAGCAAAGCGCCCAACAYTCGAGACAATTAATCCCTAAAAACACTCACAAATCCTGTAGTCCAAAATGTCTGCTGTGTGACTGATATTACTCCTCTATTTACACAACCACGCTATATTTTTTCTTGGAGCCATTTTTCTTGACGCTTTACCACCTTTGCTTTTTAGTTTTCATGTTGTTTTTCTATCATTTCTATGTCTTTTAGTACATAAAAAAAAGCTAACACAAAAATATTGGATTACTATTTCTGGCTGCTGACACTCAGATCCTTGACAGTTTTGCATAGTCATAAAGTCTGAACTCATTTTGAAAGTTTCCCTTAGAAATGTTCAGACGAAATTTAAAATATATGGTTTCTTTTGGAGAACTTACTTTTAAAACGATTTATTTGGCAAATCAAAGACGCATAATAAACCAAWTATTTATGGCAAGGTTTTCATGCAGTTGTTTCTGAATATTTGCGTCTCTAAACAGGATAAATATGTGGCGTGATAGGTGATTGGATTTAGCCGGATTTTCCTAAAAATAATTTCAGAATAAATAACTACCCCGTCGAGCGTAAATGATTCCATACAATGTAGAATGAAATTTTAACCTTTTGATCTGCCCAACCTGCTTTGATTTCTATGAAATACGAGTGGTTTTCAGGTGGCTGGTTTGTGATGAATGAGAAAAGATGAATAATCTTATATTTTGCTCAAAGGGACGCTCCTCAGAAAACAGTAATTCTCCAAATTATTGATTAAGATCCTCTCATTTTTGAATTGAAAGTACAATAAAGGACTATACGGTGTTTTAGCATTTAACTATAACTATTTACCACAGAGTTAGGAGACTAAGAGAGCGACACGTGTTAAATATTTCATTTTGGATGTTGTGATTGACACCAGTCTAGTACCACTGCAGGTGAATAGCTTACTCGCGCATGCGTGGAGAAGATCAGGAAATTATTAACGTACACAGCTGACACAGTGAAAATCCTCGTATAATGGTTCTCGCTTAGGTTTTAAAGAACAAGAACTTATTCAACCGTGTTTTATGGCCGTGTATTTGCAATTCCTCGACGCGGTTGGAGTTATCAGCGAAATTCGACGACGTTCGTTAAGACAATGAAAAGAGCAGCACAKAACTCGAAGAAAAACGTATTTAAAAAACGCCTACGAGACAACTGAACAATTAGGCAATCATAATCAAGATTTGCCCTTATAATACTTCAAACTCAGACAAGAATTTCCCTACAAACGGTTAATCTAGGACAATAGAAATAAGTGGACGACTATGGCAGGGATTCTTCGACGTGTTTTTCGTAGAAAGAGAGACAATCAAGTAAATAGTCATTBTGGTAGTGAATTATCTACTTGTCTATCAACATGGGATTTGACATCGCTGGGTATTGGAGCCACTTTAGGTGCAGGCACGTATGTAGTGACTGGACAAGTAGCTGCAAGTATCGCGGGCCCGGCTGTRGTCRTATCTTTCTCAATAGCAGCATTTGCGTCCATTCTTTCGGGTCTTTGTTATGCTGAATTTGGTGCCCGCGTACCTAAAACTACTGGGTCAGCGTACGCATACAGTTATCACACTGTAGGTGAGATATGGGCGTTCTTCATTGGCTGGAACTTGATTCTAGAATACATGATTGGGACAGCGGCTGATGCTCGAGCGTTGAGCGGATGTTTCGATTTTGTCATTGGTTACGCCATAAGGAACTTCACCATTACAAACATCGGAGAGATSCATAGTGATTGGTTGAGCAGCTACCCGGATGTGATGTCATTTGGGGTGACGATAATAGTAACACTAGTACTCGCTGCAGGAGTCAAGCAGTCTTCTTCTTTCACCACGTTATTCAACATCTTGAACATCCTGGTTGTGCTATTCATCATAGTCTGTGGACTGTTCTTCGTCGACATCAAGAACTGGACAGGAGGCCGCGGCTTCTTCCCGTTTGGTGGTTCTGGCGTACTCAGCGGTGCGGCAACATGTTTCTACGCATTTGTGGGGTTTGACATCATAGCTACTACAGGAGAAGAGGCGAAGAATGCTCCYAAGTCTATTCCCATCGCTATCGTGGTATCTTTAATCGTGGTATTCGTATGCTACTTCGGTGTGTCATCTGTATTGACTCTCATGGTTCCTTTTGATCAACTCGACAAGATATCTCCTATACCCAATGCATTTGCGCAAGTGGGAGTACCCGCTGCCCAGTACATCATAGGAATTGGCGCCGTGTGTGGTCTTGCAGCGAGTCTCCTAGGCTCATTATTTCCTCTTCCAAGAATCATTTATTCAATGTCTGTAGATGGTCTTCTATTTAGGTGCTTATCAAAAGTGAATCCTCGTACAGAGATCCCTGTAATTGCTACCATCTATCCTGGGATCATTACCGCAGTCTTCGCCTTGCTTTTCGACCTGAAGGAACTCGTTGAGATGATGTCTATAGGGACGTTATTAGCATACACCCTAGTGTCCCTCTGTGTTTTGATACTACGTTACCAGCCCCCAGTAGATATTGATCCTGAAGAATCGTACCTTTTCAACGACTTCAACAACCACCTCGCCTTTGGAGATGTGACAGAAGATTTTGATGAATTCGAGTACGAGTTAGTTAAAGAAGGAGAAAAACTGATGGCTCAAGACTTAGATACGAGTGAAGATGACTTCTTGAAAGATAAAAAACATCTTCAAAATAAACGAAGAAAAGGAAGCACCCAGAACAAACCACCAAGAACTAGCACCAGGCTACCAACCAAAGAAAGCGGCCGGCTAGTCACTTGGGCAGTCACGTCATTATTCGTCTGGTTCTTTGGCTTCTGTAGTCTAACCATTTTCGGCATTGATCAGATTCTCAAGTATAACATCCCTGTTCTAGGGCTGACAGTTTTGTTTGGTGTTCTGAGCTTCGTGTCCATTGGGGTCATCGTGTCACAGCCTCAGAATCCAACGCRTATTTCCTTCAAGGCTCCCTTGGTGCCTGGGCTGCCTATTCTCTCCATATTCTTCAATGTGTTTTTGATGTTGAAATTGTCTCGCTTGACTTGGATTCGTTTTGGCGTGTGGATGGCACTTGGTAAGTACTGAAGGAATTACTGCAAGTCTCTCTTACTACTTAGTCTGCACTGTAGGGCGTCCAATCTGCTGGGAAAGTTCCAAGTTAAACGTGTCAACTCGTTTAGGGATGGGCGTGGCGCTTATGAGCCTAGTGATAGGGTTGATCCATGCTGTCAACTCTACCCATTGAAGGCTGAGCGMTAGAGTTTATTCGGTCTCTTTCTTGATTCGAGCGTTTTTTTCTGTGTTCTCTGTTTTAATTTTTCTCATTTGTGGAACTGGCAACACATTTAGATCAGCCCAGAGGTACGATTTTCGCCTACAACTATCGTATACAACACGCTCGCTTCTGTTGTAGGCGATTTGTAGGCTTGATTTACACGTTACGACTCGAGTTGTAGGATGGCTCGAGCGTGTTGTATACGATAGTTGTAGGCGAAAATCGTACCGTCTAAACCGGCCTTTTGATCAGCGCAGATGTTGTTTCAGGATTCAAATATAAGTGACGTTTGTATTTCTAGGTTCTTTACTGTATTTCGGTTATGGCATATGGAACAGCAAGGAAGGAATCATGCAAGCCAAGGAAAAACAAAACGAAAAACAGCCTCTCCTGAGCGACACGTTGGATGAAGTAGACATCCAGTATGACATGGAGATCATCCCTGCACACAGGGACGACTGGGATAGGGACTCCTTGGACGAGGAGAAGTTCGAAGCTGTATGAATCTCCTCAATAACCATGCAAGTGAGGTACCTCCTAAGAAATAAGCATCCCGTTAACCGGGGGGGGGGGAGTAGCATTACGCAAATACCCCTACCCCTATGGGGAACATACGATAAACAGTGTTCGCTACACTATTTTGTAGGCATTAAATATATTATCTTTACGAGAGTGGTCAAGTAAAGTTTATACTATGTAGGGATAGTCTAAACTTTCAGAGGAAGGGTTTGCTATGGTAATAGAAATTGGAATGAAAATGGAAAAACGAATGGGAATAAAAATGAGAAATAAATGATAGAAATTGGAATGAAAATGGAAAAACGAATGGGAATAAAAATGAGAAATAAATGGAAATAAGGATGGCGCATTAGAATGACCATTAATAGGATTGAAAACTTTGGGGGGGGGGGGGGGGGGGGGAGATGTCATGTCAGGTATAGAATTGAATATTTTACAYTTGCGAAGAGAATTTTTAATACAAGGGACGTGAAACTAGAATTGAGGCAGTAAGATGTCCGATAATTTGACATTAAAGCAGAAATCATTAAAATTAATCGCAAATAACAAAACGCCTAAGATTTAAAATATGGCCATTTGAMAAGCTATTTACCCTTATTAAGCTAAGGATTCAATTAGGGTTAATAACCTATAGATAAATAAGAAGTTAAATTACCTCAAAAACTACAAAAAAGCGGAAGGATTTGCTGAAAGTGTCAAAGATTAGGAAACAATTTATATTCAATTTCCTTCGCTCAAAAAATTTAAAATAATTTTATCAAAACAAATGGGGAATTAGAAATCATTTTTGACATCTTATTCAAGAGGTATYTTAACATCTTGTCACTCAAGTTATATATCAATAATTTTTGAATTGAATACAATAATCTTGATTGGGATTTCTGCCGGAAATGTTTGATATATAAGATGTCATTATCCGTGAATAATTATTTGACTTTACAGAGCTGTATTTTTTTAAATGGAAATGCAAGTTATATTTTTGTTAGATATTTCATTTCAAGCATACTTCGATGAAGAATGAAAATTAAACGGAATAAACTGAAACCTTAAGGAAATAATCTCGAAAAGAACGCGGAATTATCGAAAATAAAACGAATTGAAAACGAAACGAAAAACTCGCATAACGGCACGAAAATCACACGGAAAAAACTCAAATTTAAAACGAAATTAGAATCGAAAAAATCGCGGGACAAAACGCGAAAATAACGAGACAAAAAGAATACGTAAGAAATATGAACGAGAAAGTGATATATTTTAAATGAAAATCATAAAGATTGACGAAAGATAACCGCCATACGAATATTGAATCCTTGAATATCATGAATCAAATGAGAACGCGCAAAAATAACACGAACGTCTTGCTGTATTGACACGCTACCAACTCGAATAAACACGTATAAAACACCAAGCTATATAACAACAATAGATCTAAATTTTGATGAGAAAAATTCTAGCTAAATTTATTTAATAGTGCTGATGAGAGTAAACCGCGAAAAAGCTTTAATAAATTATTAATACTAAATTGTGCAAAACCCTTAATTTTTATTGAGGCAATACATACTTGAATTATGCTCAGGTCAGACGTCGAACTTCACAAGAGCCGAACCTAATTGAAACAATGGACAATAAGGCGGTCTTCTTTGATGTCATTAGGTTCGGCTCAGATGAAGTTCGACGCCGTTTAAACCTAAGTATATGAAAGGTAATTCGCCTTATCCATTGAATAATCTTTTGTTTTACTTCGTAAGTCACAAAACTAACTATTCTTATTTATCATCATTACTTATTTCACGGGCCATTTAAAATCACACTAGCACAATTTAATRACAATTGGATAATTATTAATTACAATTCCCATGTGAGTACTGTAATATAATATTATTTCTTTATTTATTTAACAAAATTATTTTATAACAAGTTTATGAAAATACAACATTAATTTCAGTTTAAAATCGAAATGGCAAGGAATAGTCGTTATTGAGCAGCATGTTAATTCAAATTACTTTACAAATGTATGAATCTATTTTTTGCTTAAAGATTATAATAAACATACTTTTCTGTTTGACACTGTATTGTATCAAATCCCTATTGGAGGGAAACAGTTGGTTTTATTCTAAAAAAATTAATGAATCATTTTGAGATAATATACTTATTTCAAATAAAAGAAATCATTAAAAACCTACAAAGATGAGACTGCTGAGGATCATGGGAAACATGTTCATATCCAATAAGTAAAAGTATAGAGGTTTTGCACCATCACGTGCCGGCGCCCATAATACAACTTGGGCTTCCTTTGGTTAGATAGCAGAGCATTAAAATCCCTTTGCTCTCGGGAATTGAATTTTTTCTCATGTACAATGATTGTATTGTTCCTGCCATCTAAAAACCTCTATCGATACGAACTGCAGTTTGAGGATGTTCACAGGAGGAAAAACGGTAACTGATAAAAGATCTCAAGCGGTTAAATCATATAAAATATATCTACCCATAATCCTTGCTGGTCTCAGCTTTGTAGCTTTTCGTGTGACTTTTAATGTTATTGAAACAAGTATATATCGTGCTGTATCCATCCTTTGGTTTGTTCGTTCATGTTCAGCACGTGGTTTGTCTTTCATGAAAAAATGGTAAAAATAGAAGGAAAAAAAACCTCAAACTTTACGTTCACTTCTTAGAATGCATCATTTACATTTTCATTTCAAAGCTATTCAAGCCCCTTTTGATTTGGCCGGTTTTTGAAAACTAACTTTTCGTCAATTCCACTCTGTTATCCAGTTCTCTGTATTTCCTCAAAAGCATTGGTTCAGATATTTCAAATTAAATACGTAAAGTCCAATAAATGCGTCGGACAGGCAATRATGGTCGCTAGATTTTGCATGATTGTGAAGAAGTCACGGTAATGACGTATCGTTACGTGATCGTGCTTTTGCCGCGTTTAAGCAATTTGATTGGATGATCAGTAATCTAGCGCGTTGCGATTGGTTTATCGTAACCGTGCCGTGCCATTTCACGATCATAGAAAATCTACTCTATTTTGAGGTAGAGGAAAAAACTGAGTCCAGTTAGCATTGCAGTGCATTGTGGGGCTGTTTGAGGGGACATTTCCAAGATGGCGTCTATTTCGTCCCCTAAACAGTCCCACCATGCACTGCAATGTCAACTCGACCCAGTTTTTCCCTCGACCTTAGAAATGGCACGGCACGGTTACGATAAACCAATCACAACCTTGAAATGTCTAATATTACCGTCAGATTACTCTTAAAGTAGAGGCCATCACAGTCTTCTCCAACGAATTCTCACTTTACAAAGTTATTTATACAATGGATGCCACTTGTATTCAGCTTTGGATTCTGACTTGAGCATATTGTCCCAGTGTTCTTGCTGTTCGTTACCAGACGACCCAACACCAAAAGAACACTCTCCAATCTTCTCCTTCTTGTTGCGTACTTCCGAGAAGCGAATGACAGATATTTGGAGAGTAACTTCCTTGAGACGTTCGATGTTAAGTCGGAACATGAACATCTCATTAAACTCCGTGTCGATGACGTGTTTCTTGACGCTCGTACGGCAGATCCTCAACACTTGTTTATTTCCACCAATCAGCTTCAACTCAACGCTCACATCTTGCGGCTTGGACCCACTCAGCATCCCTAATCCTCTTGTCTTGATAACCTCGACGATCAGTTTTCGTGTGAGGGCACGATACTCTAGTGAGATGAGCATTTCTGGACGAGCTGTGTCGGGGACTGCTTGACCAACACTGTCTATACCTGATATATACCTCGTATCTATACCGTATGTATCAGGTGAATTGAGATCAAGCAGGATATTCACATCGACTCCATCTGTAAGCTTGAGGTCTTCAAGACTAACCAGTCCTTGTCCTATGAGGTATTTACGAGTGATGGCCTTGTGGTCGTAGATCCTGAATCTCAGAGAAGACCCAGACATTTTAGTCTTCGTTGGCAGCTGTATTGCAAGGGGTTCACTGAAGCGTTTCGAACGCCTTCTGAAACTCTGTTGATGCATGGGTAGTAACATACAACTGACTTCTAAATCTTGCATCTTCCATTCTTGATAAGCTCCAAACTCGATCTTATTGATTTTAATGTTAACTTTATTGCTTTTCTTGTCATATTTGGCATTCAAATAGATTCTTCCTCCAGAACCAATATCTCCTCTCGGCGTCGACGCATCATTACCRCCATCTTTAACGATCTGTACCGTAGATGGTGGAAGGCTCATACATTCCACTTCTGAAGGAGCAATAGAGCTGTCAACTTCATCTTGGTTGTAGCCGCTCTCTTCCTCGTCGTAAACCTTCTTCTCTCCAGCCATAGGAGTCGAGCTAGGTGGTTGATCTACATCTACTCCRTTCGTGTGGTATTCAAGCTCTAAATTCTCTGCTTTCAAATCCGCAGGGCCTTCATTGTGGTTGTTTTCTACAGGTCCATTTGCTTGTTTCTTCTTCTTCTTAAGCTTTGTAGTGTCTGTATCGCCCGTCACGCAGCATCTCCAGAACGAAAACATAGGATTCGACATCTTCAARTTACTCAGCTAAAACTTCTAAAAACTCTGGCCTAATTGCCTTGAAATGATTTGCAATCAAACAACCTAAAAAGTCGCAGTAACTTCGATAAAATTGCGATACTGTAGGTATAAATACCAAGTATGGTCTTATCAGTTCAGAAATCTCGACTTGTTCGATGTCCGAGGGTAAAATTGCAGAAATATTCCAAGGGTTTTAGGCGAAAAGCGTCAGGACTTGTTTCATCAAACAAAAGAACACTTGAAATACCTCAGTTTACGGTTCATCAACAAATGACATACGCTATTTTGCCATGATGATTTGACTTGTAAATAAGATGAACACTGATGATGTCACGCATGGACGAAGAAAATAATCCATGACAAGAAAAGGAAGCCAAAGTTCATGAATTGGAATAAATACGTGAAAGATAAAGTTACCTCAAAAAAATAAAATAAAATAAAATAAAATAAATAAAACGAAACAAAATGAAACAAAACAAAAAATAATGCACAGTATTTA